ATATATATATATATATATATGATAGATAGATATTTATAATATATAATGACACAGTCAAACTTTTTTGGATCACTTTTTAAAACCTTATTAGAGAAAAATTACAAAATTATTTCAATTTATTACATTGAACTCTAGCCCGCGACACAATAGTTTATCTTGCAACCCGCAAAAAAAAAAAAAAAAAAATTCCATGAGGGCCCTCTGAACAAAAAAGGTTCATGTTATAGAATAGATGATATTCACACATTCTCATGTGTTTACATCTGAGTAAAAGTTCATCGGTCTGATTTAGCTAAGAGCGCACAGAATGGCTTGGTGTGTGGCGCAGCGTGCTAAACAAATTCAAACGACTTCAGGTAAAGACCGACTCATCGACAGCTGATGGGTGAACGGTTGAATAGAGTTACCTGTTAGTGTTACACACATGAGAGGGACGATAACAAAAATAAGAACAAATCTGGCACACACACACGAAAAAAAAAACGCTCGTAATTTAAGGCTCTATATCAATGAAGGTCAGGTTGCTTGTATCCGTCCGCCGTTTAATCAAACAACACACGTGTATATCCGTTTGTTGCTACGCTGGTGATTTGAATAAATATTGTGACAGTGACTTTGTCTGGTCCTAACACTTCCTGTCATTTAATCATACCATTGAATTCATAGGGCATCAGCCAGCCGGAGAACGGACGACACCACCACCCCCCACCCCCCACCACACACACACCCTCTTTTCGTTGAACGGGACGAGGAATAAACCCCGAAGCCAGTCAACCCTAAAGTTGGCTCCATGACTCATCAATCTTTTAATCCTGTCACTGGTGGTCTTTAAGTTTAAGTCTTTTGGTGACACTATAGCGGTATTCACTAGAATTGTAATTGAAAAGGACCATTGGCGGTGGTAGTCAGGTCAACTGAGACCGAGGCGTATGGCATATCGGTTGGGGGGGGGGGGACTATTAGCCTGTATGATTATTTATTGATAGGTTGTAATTGACACAAAGAACTAAATCAGCGGTTCTCAACCTCTGGGTCGCGAACCCTTGGGGGACCACGCCACCCTTTCCCGGGGGTCGCCTAAGACCATCTGAAAACACTTTTTCACATATCCTTACAGCTATGAAGTAGCAACGAAAATAATTGTGTGGTTGGGGGTCGCCACGACACGAGAACCTGTATTAAAGGTTCGCGGCATTAGGGAGGTTGAGAACCATTGAACTCAATGATGTTATTGAAAGCGTTTGTTAGATTATACAATACTCTTATCTGTCATACTCCCCCCAACCCCCATGCCTGCGTCAGTTAATACTGGTCTCATCCCATTCGTTCAAGTAGATCGATTCATCTGATATGCTTGTGGTTTATCTTTATCTTCACGCTCTACCTTAAGAGTTCGAAGAGCGATGAAAAAAGTGCATCTGAAAATGGGGAAATACCCCGGTCCAATTTGTACTTGTTATATTGTTGGTGATAACACCATCGTTTACACGTTGGACAAAACTCAAACATGCCATACATAAGAACACGCCATACATAAGAACATGCCATACATAAGAACATGCCATACATAAGAACATGCCATACATAAGAACATGCCATACATAAGAACATGCCATACATAAGAACATGCCATACATAAGAACATGCCATACATAAGAACACGCCATACATAAGAACACGCCAAACATAAGAACACGCCAAACATAAGAACACGCCAAACATAAGAACACGCCAAACATAAGAACACGCCAAACATAAGAACACGCCAAACATAAGAACACGCCAAACATAAGAACACGCCAAACATAAGAACACGCCAAACATAAGAACACGCCAAATGACGCTAAGACACTCACTACACCAACCATAAATTAAACATTCTAGATTTGCTCGCACGCTGTGTTAACTTTAAAATGGTCAAGTTAAGATACCGTGTTTATCGAGTTATGAAATATATCCTTATACTTGCAATAACTTACATAGAATAACGTGAAATCTATCTCAGTGAATCTGGTCCATATCTTGTGTATTAAACCAATTTCAACCACGAACTAACTGTTCGAAACTCAAGTCTTTATAACCTTATCGGGCTGACTGACAGGTCATCAACGGGTAGCGCCGATCTTAACCTACTGATAACAGGCATGGGTTGTTGTTTTTTTTAAGTGGGGGAGGGGGATTAGTGGCGGTCTAGACAATATGATTTAGCGTAGAGCTTCATTGCCGCACTCCGTTGTCATGTGACAAATGTCACGACATCAAATCTGATTGATATGGTGACATGGGGTTGCTTTTTTAAATATATATGTCAAAAAATATATATATTATATTTAAAAATTGGTTCCAGCCCCCACCCCTTTTTTTACTTCTGCTTCCCCCCCCCCTTTTCTCCCAAATATTGTTAGGTGCCAAACCTATTTTTATCTCATTATTCCAGCACGTCTCCTTCACTTAAAGATAAGACTTTTTAACAATTATTTATATTATATCGTATGAGAGTAAACAGGAAAAACTTAACTTTTCTAACTCCATACTGTAAAGACCTCAGTGGTATATTTTTTTCTCTCTAAAGACGTTAGTGCAAAGAAAACATAATACTCTTACATTATGGTCATACACATATGGTGATTTTCTTTACAGCGTTTCTAGGCCCTTTTTATGTCGCTCCCCCACCCCATTTTTCCCAGGTATTCATATTTTTTAAACAATTGTATACTATATCCGCGCCCCCCAGGGGGGAAGGGGGGTATATGGTTCAAGTTGAGAAGCATTGCTTTTAATGTCCAATTAGTTAATCATACCACACAATGTACAGGGTCAGATCATTGACATCAAAAATCGGTGGATACACTAACAAAAAATTCTGCGAAATGAGGTTTCTTAAAATATGGTATATATATATATCCTGAGGTCACTTTGTCTTTCTAGGTATTTATTCTAAGGTATAGATCAATATCACTACACGTGCGGAACGTATTTAGATTTTAACTGGAGTGTGAAGACAGTGGTTGGAATTGTTTTCTTATTTTTGTACCCACATTTTCCATGACAAGCGCACGATAATAATTAATATTATTACAAAAGACAGAGGCTGTTCGGATAACCTATTTTTTGTATAATCGGCGTTCGGAAAATAGACATAAATTATGCGCCAGTCATCGTCGTGATCATTTGGCGAGACAGCCCATGTAGGACCCTGGCAATACTCCATCACAAGTTTCATTCGGATCGATCCATTGTTTTTTCCTCCATGCGCTGACCCCCAGCTGGTAAGTCCTTCTCTACATCATCAATCCATCTCAATCGGTTGACCGGTAAGCCATCCGCCCCAAGGTTTCTGCCAGTAGATCACTTAATGGTCTACAATCCGGCATCCTTTCAATATGTCCTGTCCAGCGCAATCGGCATTTTTTAATTGTTGCGACTGTGGGTGGATCCTAGAACAACTGATGATTCGTACTTGGTTTGTACAAATTCTTCATACATCATTGCATTTGAAATGTTACATTAAGAAATGGCGTCAGCGGGGCGAGTCTAGACTCTTATGCCCCCCCCCCCCAAATTACCCCTCCCCGGTCCGACGTATCGGGCCGCGGAGCGGCACGTTGGAGATGCCCACTCGTCAGGACGGCCCCCACACGGGCCCCTCACCCAAGAAAATTACCCCTCCCCGGTCCGACGTATCGGGCCGCGGAGCGGCACGTTGGAGATGCCCACTCGTCAGGACGGCCCCCACACGGGCCCCTCACCCAAGTCCCCCGCCTGGGCGCTCGACCAGGACCCCACCTGGGGGTCGCCCCAACGAGGAGGCACCCGGTCGATCCGACACTATGCGTTTAAACAGTGCACTCGATCGACTTTCTCAGGAGTTGGGATGGAAAAATGTACGTACTAATATCTTCCCCCACCCATCCCGGGAAAGCGTCG